TTTATGTTTGGGAATTAATGTTTTAGGTTTGAGGTTTATGCTTTTGGGTTTAAGATTTAGACTTTAGAGGTTTTTGGTTTTGGGTTTGTGGTTTAAAGTTTATGGTTTGGTTTTGCTCTTTAGGGCTAAGGGTTTTAGGTTTGGGGTTTCGGTTCCAGGGTTTGGTGTTTTAGGTTTTTTATTTGGGTTGAAGGTTTTTTGTTTGGGGTTTTAAATTTAAGCTTTCAGCTTAAGTGATTGGTTTTTAGGTTTAGGGTTTGGTGTTTGTGATTTAGGCTTTTGAATTTAGGGATTAGTATTTTTGGTTTTTCATTTTAGGTTTGGGATTTAGGCTTTTGGTGTTTTATGTTTGTTGTTTGGCTTGTAAGGTTTAGGGTTTGGGTTTAGGAATTCGGGTTTATGGTTTTTCGTTTTGGGTTTTGGGTTTTGAGGTTTTGAATTTAGGGTTTTGGCTTTATTGGTTTAGTGTTTAGGGTTTAGGCTTGGGAGATTTGGAGTTTTATGTTTAGGGTTTAAGGGATTTGGTTTGATGTTTTAGGTTTGGGGTTTATACTTTAAGTTTTTGTGTTTTGTTGTTTTGGGTTTAGGATTGAGTGTTAGTGGTTTGGGGTTAAGGGTTTCAAGATTCAGGTTTGGGGTGTTAGGTTTATGGTCAAGCCTTAGTGGTTTTTTTTTTGGGGTTAGTAATTATGATTTACCATTTGGGCATCACGCTTGGGTGGTTTGTGTTTAAGGTTTCAGGTTTGTGTTTTAGGGTTTAGGATTTTTAGTTTAGGGTTTACGCTGGGGGTTTTAGGGTTTTTAGTTTTTGATTTTAGTTTAGTGTTGCGGGTTGTAGGATTGATGTTATAGGTTTCAACCTTAAGGTTAAGAGTTTTTACTTAAGGGTTCAAGGTTTGGTGTTTGGAGTTTTAGGTTTAGGTTTTTGTGGCTTTCAAATTTAGGAATTTGTGTTTTGGGTTTATAGTTTCAAGTTTTTGGCTTGGGGTTTTTGTTTTATTGTTTGGGGTTTAAAAAAATATTTAGTTTTTGCCCTTAATTTTGATTCATGATTATTCTACTATTACATATGTTAGTTGTTCTTTACTTTAACTCTAGAGATCATCGGTTTATATTTAAATGAGTTTGGGGTTCACGATTTTGGATTGGTGTTTTTGATTTAGGGTTTTGGGTTTGGGGTTTGGGATTTTGCAATTGGGGTTATAGGATTGGGTTTTGGAATTAGGCTTTAGGGTTAAGGGTTTCAAGTTAGGGGTTTAGTGTTTTGGCTTTTGAGTTAGGGTTTGGTGTTTTGTGTTTTAGGTTTGGGTTTTGAGGATTTTGGTTTTAGACTTTAGTTTTAGGCCGTTTGGACTAGGGTTTTAGCTTATAGGTTTGGTGTTTTTTATTTTGGATTTAAGGTTTTAGGGTTATTGCTTTGCAATTTTGGCTTACGTTTTAGGGTTTTAGATTTAGGGGTTTAGGTTTAGGGTTTTAAATTTAGGGATTTGTCTTTTTAGGTTGGCGTTTAGGGTTTGGACTTTTGGGTTTAGGGGTTTGGCTTTGGGGTTTTGTGTTTAGGTGTATTTTGAAGTTTTATGTGGTGTCGGGACAGAAGATGAATAAAGAGAAGATGAAGCGTTATGTTTCAAAAAATGTCCACTTTAATAGAGCTATGGAGCTAAGTAATGATTTCAAAGTAGGTCTTACTTGAGATTTAGGAAAGTACTTAGGCTTATGATAGATTGGAATGGCTTTTTATTCATTACTACTTGCAGGAAGTTGGTTTTGGTGAATATTTATGTATGGTCATTATGGCTTGCATTTCTAGTCCTACAACCAATGTTATTTGGAATGGTGAACCTTTTGCTAGTTTTACCCCTTCTAAGGGGCTTAGGCAATGAGACCCAATCTCCCCTTACTTTTTTAACTTATGCATGGAAAAACTAAGCTACATAACTGAAGACGAAGTTTTTAGGGGCAAATGGAAACCTATCAGATTGGTTAAGGATGGTCCTCGACTTTCCCACTTATTCTTTGCAAATGATCTGATCCTTTTTGGGGAAGCATCTAGCTGTCAAATTCAAGTTATGAATATATGTATTTCGAAGTTCTATGTAGCATGGGGACAAAAGATGAATAAAGAGAAGACAAAGCTTTGTGTTTCAAAAAATGTCCACTTTAATAGAGCTATAAAGCAAAGTAATAATTTGGAGGCAGGTCTTACTGGAGATTTGGGAAAGTACTTAGACATTTCTCTTATTTATAAAAGGGTCACTAATGGGATGTCAAGTTGGAAGTGTAAGTTTCTCACTTTAGTAAGGAGATCGGCGTTGGTGAAATCAGTCATTTCAGCTTTGCCTACTTACTACATGCAAACTATCCTTCTCCTATCAGGTATCCTTAATGACTTGGAAAAGGTTACTAGAGAGTTTCTTTGGAGTAATAGGGAAAATGGTCAAAAAGTCCATCTTTTAGCTTGGGAAGTAATATAGAAACATCATGAATGTGGCAGCTTGGGGATAAGAAATCTCAAAAACCAAAACAGAGCCTTTACGTAGAAGTTATGTTAGGGTCTGGTAACAAATCCAACGGCTCTTTGGGTGTAAGTTCTGAGATCTAAGTATAAATGTGGAAATAAACATATTCTTAAAGTTAAGAAGCATGTCAGAGCTTCTATTACTTAGAGTAACATTGTAAAGGTGTTGGATTCATTTCAACAAGGAATGGGAAAAATGGTTTGTTTAGGTAATCAAACTTCTTTTTGGTTTGACAAATGGACTCCTTTAAGAAAGCCTCTCATTAATTTTATAGTAGAAAGGAAGGAATTTATAGATGTCAATGAAATGGTGTTTGACTATGTGCTTCAATTAGGAGTGTGGGATATTTGTAAAATGAGACCTTGGCTATCAAGTTCTATGGTGGGCCTCATTACTAGTATTCATATTTCTGTGTGAGGAGAGTGGTGAGGATAAAAACATATGGCTCTTCTCTACTGATGGAAATTATACTGTGAAATTTGGGTATTCTCTTTTGCTTGCAAGTATAGAGATTGATCGAGACCCTATGTAGAGGAGAATTTGGCAAATATTGGAGAAGATCAAAACTCTAATGTGGTACATTGCTCATGGTAGAGTTCACACAATAGCTTTTCGAGTATGAAGAGGGTTGAATACAGCGAGTCCTTACCCCTTTGGATGTAATGAATTGGAAGATACTATGCGGTTGTTCAGAGATTGTACTCATGCCAAGCGCTGGTGGAGGGAATTTGTTCGTGCGGATTATGTGGAGACCTAGGCTTAAATAGGTAAGGTTGGCTCGATTGGAATATGAAACATTAAGGAGGGAATTCTTTCACTAAGAAGGTTCCTTAGGATATTTTATTTGCTTATATCTGCTAGGATATATGGAGAAGTCATTGTAATTAGTTTTCTAAGCTTGAGATGATTGGGCAATGGAGGAACCTTCTACATCTTTCTTTAGAGTTGTAACTGATCATGATCTTAGAAATAACCTGCACAACTCTTTATGAGTGACAGTCGTGATACTTTACATTAACGTTTGTTGTAGGGCATTATACTTGAAGTTGATGGGCTTACTCTTACTAATGGCTGCAATTCGTGTGGAGGAGTTTTGAAGGATGAAAACAATGCTTGGATTTAGGGTTTTAATCAGGAATTAGGACATATTCCCCCTACCATTATTGAATTGTTTGGTATTTTCAAGGGTCTTGAGTTATGTTGGCAAAAAGAGTACAAGACTATGGAAGTTTTTTGTGATTGTGCGCAGATGATCTCAACAATTACAAGGGACAATCATGACTATCACTCTTTTGAAAATATTATCAATCTCATAAATTTGATTCTTTGTAGAAATTAAACTGTGAACTTTAATTTTTTATAGAAGGATGATAATAAAACGGTTGACTACCTTGCTAAACTAGGCCATAGATCATCCAATAACTTTAATACTTTTGATATCCCATTAGTTGATTAAGGGTGGCTGGTTTATTTTTTTTTAATTGTTTTTTTTTTTCATCTCCTGTATTTGTTTTTACATTATCTTGAATGAGTATTTCATGTTCATATTAAAATAATAATAATAATAAATCAACCATTCACAACCCACTGCCAGAAATCCTAGTTAGAGGCTCCTCCTTTTTCCCTTGAGTTGAGGGTTCTCTTCGACGACAATCTAAAGATTAGATAGCAGAGCACGACACCTCGTTCCTACTTCGCCAATCTGGAGGTAGAAGCTTCGAAGTTCACACAGTTCGCGTTCTCTTCGGTTTTCAAACTCGTCGTTCAAAACTCCAGAACAAAGTATTGCCGTCTGCTTCTTTCCTCTCGTCTCGTGTTGCTTTCTCCTTGTTTCCTCTCATCCTTGCTGTCTAGGTTCGTCTGCTTCTCTCCTCTCGTCATTCAGAACTTCAGATCAAACATTTGTGTCCAGGTTTGTCTGCTTCTTTCCTTCTCCGGGTTCTTCACCTTTCTTCTTTTGGTTTGATTTTTGCTGTGAGATCTGGGTTGAATATGCCTCAAAACTCCATTATTATATTCATTTGTGGCTCCCACTTGTCTAGTTGCCTTCATTTTGGGTTTTCTTCAAGTCTTCTTCGTGATTGAAGTTTTCAAGCTATAAGCATTTCGATTTCCACCCTACAATTTACATGTTTTCATTGAACTTTGCTAATAATAAATCTGAAGCTATTTGTCCTCTTCTTGCCGCTGTCCACGTGTTCTGAATATTATTTCCTTTGTTATTTGGAGTCGAAGTTGTGTTATGATGGATGACATCGCCCAGAGAAAATGCTTTTCCCTTTTTCAATTTCGATCCCACCCACGCATGCTATTTCAGCGTGGTGCAATTCATTGTTTATTGGCCATGACTCTTTGGTTTGTATATCATTTCTCGGCTCTTTCACTTCAATAGCTCCTTTATATCATCATATGTGCGATTCATGCAGCATCTGACAATAACATGGTGTCTAATTTTGAAGCAAATTGTGGTTTGGAGAATGTGGAGTCCGTCCTTATTTGTGGTGGCGATTAGCTTCGTTACAAATATGTGTCGATGAGAAAGCAAAAGGCAAGAATCTTCTTGTTTATTATTTGTTGTTACATATTTGTTTATTTCCTTTACTTGTTGCATTGTTGATTGGACTTGTACTAGACTGGTTTTTTGTTAACAATTTCTTCTTTCATTGGATATGAGTCATATGTACAGAAGATTATATTGAAACCTTGATTGGTGTTGCTGTTATTTTATTTTTACATATCGTATTGCTATTGACCTGTATATTGTTATTTGTCTGTTGTGTTATTAATAATTTGGATAATTTTTAGCTGGACGTATTACATGTTTTAATTTAATATCATGTAAAGCCTATTTAAAGACTACACATTGTAGGCTTTGAAGCCTACTTGAAGCCAACTTTTTTGTAGGCTTTGATTTGCTCAAAGCCTACTTAGAGACTTTAAGGCTTGATCTTAGAAGTCTTTTTAAAGGACTACATATTAAGTAGGTCTTTAAAAAGGTTTTAGGCCTGAGCCTAGAAAAAAGCTTGAATATTAGTGAAATAATATTCAGAACACATGGACAGTGGCAAGAAGAGGACAAATAGCTTCAGATTTATTATTAGCAAAGTTCAATATAAACATGTAAATTGTAGGGTGGAAATCGAAATGCTTATAGCTTGAAAACTTCAATCACGAAGAAGACTTGAAGAAAACCCAAAATGAAGGCAACTAGACAAGTGGGAGCCACAAATGAATATAATAATGGAGTTTTGAGGCACCTGTTACAGGTTCGGGCCTAATTGGCCAGTTCCTGCCCCTACATGCCGGTTTGACTCCCTAGAATTGCCCAAAAAATGAACCGGTGGAAAATCATTTAAAATGGTGTTGAACTTGGTTTTCTTTTATTTTTTCTTTTTAAAATTCCCAGTAACCCAAAACTTTGTTTTTTTGTGTCTTTTTATTTGTCTTTTGGTTGGTTTTTCTTTGGTGTTATATGTATTTGATGATTCATTAGTGGTTCTAATTAATTATGAAAGTTTGCGCTGGTTTGGTTGGACAATTAATATGGCATATTTAGTGATTTTGTAATAATTAATAAATACTTTATTGTAATGTTAGTGTGATTGCTGTACATTTAGCATGTCTGACAAGGATATGGATTCATTTTGGGGAAGGTGGGGTAGGACTATATTCATGACCAATGCATTGAACATTGTAAGTATTGATGAATTTTTGTCTAGCATATAAAACCAGTTTTGCTCCATTCCACTTGCTGTTTCTGTTCCTAGGCTGAAAATTAATTTATAAAAGGATATAGCAGGGCATTATAAGATCTAAATTGAACCATAAGCATGTTTAAGTGATGGGATTTTTTCTGTAGGAGGCTGGAGCATTGTTCGAGTGAGGGTTAAACCAAAAATTTAGGTACTAGTTGAATGATTTAGCTTGAATTATGGTTTATCTTGGGTTCTACTGTGGGACTGATTTGGGTATGTTGTCATTTATGGATATGCTGAAGGCGTGAGTGCTTCGTTTATTGTATTTGGAGGTGATATTAGTGATGGCATCTATTTTTGGCATGATTGCATGATTAGTGTAGCTTGGGAGCATGGTTATCTCAAAATCATCATCTTGAGAACAAATTTTGTTGTGATACAATAGTTTGAGCTTATGGTTATTTCAAGATTTTGGGTGCATGGACAAACCTAATTTGACAATCAAAACTTGCCCGAAGTATTGGTGTCAATTTGGTTGAGTAGCAAAACTGACCATATTACTTTTGGGTTTTGTCACAATTTTTGGCTTTTTGGGATTTCTAACTTGGAGAAGTTTTGTTTTTAAGTGCAAGATTGTCAATGCTTGATGATTTCCGCAAGAGTTTGGGATTTCTTCTAATTAGAATTTTGGATTTTGCTTCTGTGGGCATGACATGATTCCTATACACGCTAAGAGGCTAGTTTCAAGGTGTTTTAGGTCATGAAGTTCTTTTCAAATCCTATGCATTTTGCCTATAGAGCTTTACTTGATTTTAACATGCTTCGGGCCTGTTTTGATGTATAAAATGTTGTTTAATTGTTATGGATACATAAGTACTATTTCAAGCCTCCAAAATGCTCTTTATGCACAATCTTTCCCATAATCCCATGTCAAATCTTGGTTTAGCTTGCTACATGTGTAGGTTATACTCTGAGTTGGAAAAGGTGACCATCAAGCCTTTATAGAATTATGGGAAGATCCAGTTTGGTTGTTTTACATGTAGGTGCCCTTAAAACTCTTAAAGTGTCTTGTTTATCATGCCTTATTAGTAGATAGTGATTTAGCATACTAATTAGACTAGTGCACTTTGGAACATGAGAAAACCATTGTAGTCTTTTTTTTTTTTTTTTGGATAAGAATTGTAGTCTTTAATTTTAGGCAAATTTGATTGTATTAGTTGTAATATTGCTGTTTGGACTTAAATAGCCCAAATGATCATATTTTGCATATAAGATATAAGAGCTTCCTTTAATTAGTTGCATCATTTAATTGCTACACTTGGATTCAGTAAGTTAAATTAACAAAAAAAAAGGAAAAATATATAGTTTATTATTATCCTAACTATAGTCACACACGCTCCCTCAGGAGCCCAAAAGGTTATTTGCTAATTTTATTTATGTTTTATTTTGTTCTGCCACGTTGGTTTGTCATATCGCACAGTTTCAGATCTTTAGGAGATTTAGATTATTTTATTATTTTTATTTTGCTTCTCTAATGTATCTTGGCCAGATCCTATTTTATTCTAGGGTTTGTGTCGCTTCTATAAATATACTCTATGCCATTTGAAGAAATCAGTTTTTCCCATAGTTTGGAAAACTAGACCAAACTAGCTAGTCAGATTGATGAACCAGCGAATCGGACATGCGTCAAGTCCCTTTTTCTGTCTAGATGGCTTAGAGGTTGATTGGCTTAACATTTACAGCATACTTTTGTAAATTTTTAACTAATGTTGCTAAGATTCCCAAGTACCTTTTGTTGATTTCTTAAACGATAGCAAAAAATCACAAATAATTGACTTGCAATTTATAACTAACTTTTGTAAAATTTTAATTCCAATTAACGTTACAAATGATCCCAAATGTAGTTTGTAGATTTTCCAAGTCATGTATCTATATAGTGATGGTAAAAAAATCACGATTCACAACTGAATCTTGTAAATTCTCAACTAATGTTATACATAATTCTAAATGTATTTTCTTGATTTCCAAGTTGTTTATTTGTATATTGACAATGAAATTGAGATTTACAACTGACTCATAAATTCCTAATTGACATTACAAATAAATTTCAAGTATCTTTTGTTGATTTCCCAACTGACTATTCACATTTTTTAATTACAAGGATCATGGTTTGTTATTGGGATTTCAACAATTCATGGTGTGTAATTGTCATTATTGTTTTTATAGGGTCCCTAATTTTCATTTTCCCTTTTTCATTTCCAGGAGCCCCAAACAGCACTGTTTTGGTTTTTTTTTTTTTTAAATAAATGCCTCCTCCTGAATGATGTTAATCAATTCTTGTCACTTCAGCAACTTGCCTTCTCAGCTTTCTCGGCCCCAGCCCAGAGTGAGTGCATTCTCTACCTTCTTGTTTGCCTCTGAGCCTCTCCACTTCAGCAGCTTCTGGAATGAGATTCTAAATCTTCTTATAGGCTTCTGCTTTCAATATCACTCTGAAAAGTCCCAAGTCGTATTAAGCTTCCCAAAGAAACTAGAATGTAGTTGAGTACACCTTAGGTCATTAAATCCTAAGAGAGCAAGTTTAAGCAACCAAAGACAATTCATAAACCATTATCACAAGTTAAAAACAATGTTGCTTTTGAAAATCAAAATCAAGGTTTAAAGTGTTTATTTTTTTTTTTTGAACAGAAGGTTTAAAGTGTTTATGATTTTTGAATTTTATAAACAAATGTAAAGTGAGATGAAATTGATTTAACCAAGCAAACAAGTGAATTCTTCAAGATTTGAATTCACTTTCACAATCACAGAATTCTAAGTTCAATCCATTTGGTTCTTGCAACTTATTTGACATTAAGTAAAACGTCTAATTACCATTAGGACTAGGTGATTATGGCTTAGACCAAGACATAATCCTTATGAAAATTATGTCAAACAATGACTTGACTCAAGAATTAGACCTTGCCTTGCCTTGACCACGTTCTAACACTTAGAACCAATCAAGAATTTAGCAATTAACTTCAATTTAAGACCTAAACAGAAGCTAAATGGTTCAAATATTACTATAAGGATTGAATAAATTAGCATTTACACAACAATAACCATTGAAGCATAAATTCAAACACATAGTGTGCATCATCCAATTAAAGAGTCAAATCATAGCATCTAATTTTTTTAAAGGAATGAAATCAACTAAAGAACTCAACCTAACCAGAATTGAATCAATTAGTAGTAAACAACAAAGAAATTAGAGAATTTAGATGTGAATTACAACAAAACCGTAATGTATTGAACTAAGAATACTCAAGTTTAAGTCTCATCTCTCTTGAAGAACTCTCAGAGAATTCAGCTGCTCATTTCAATCTCTTCAACAACTGATTAAGGAAAATGTCTAAAAGAAGCTGCCATGAGTGTGCGACCGAGAGGAGAGATGAAAGATCATGAGCTTCGACAAACTGTGAAAACGAGAGGAGAGATGAGTGATTTGCGTATGACGAGCTGAATGAAGATGAAGATGAGCAATGGTGACTGAACTAGACTGAGAAGAAGATGAGTGTTCATTCGCATGAGGTGGCCGAGAAGAGTTGTACAATGACTATGTGCGGCGGACTGAACTTAGAGGAAGAAATACAGCAGCAGTGCAATGGTGAGCGTGCGATCAGTTGGACTCTGAACCTTAGAGGAAGATGAGAGGAGATGAGTGATCGTGTCTCTCCCGTGACTGAACTTGGACTTTGTGAGCGATGAGTGTTTGCATGCGTGTCTTCAAGATGAGTCCGAGAGATCCTTCCTTTCAGTTTGACCCCCTCGCTCCAAGATGATGATGCTCTGCGTTTTGTTCCCAGAGAAGCCAATCACATGTGCATGCATATCCTTCTCTTTCTGCGTTTTTCTTCTGTGCTGAAAGGGGAAAAAAACTGATTTAAAATAAAATGGAGAAACTTACCAAATTAGGCCCTAAATGCTTAGAAAAGCAAAACAAATAAAAATAAATGAATCTAATGAAATTGAACTTAATAAAAAAAAATTGTCAAATAATAAAATTTGCGAAGGAACTAAAATTCTATATTAAAAACAATTAATTCCAATAAAATGACCCTAATGTCAAAATTTAATGAGAAGTGAGCCAATGATCAAATTTAGTGCCAAAACCATGCATATAAAGGTCTAAACTAATAAAATATGTCACAAATATAAAAGAATGTGCAAAAATATGTGATTCATCTAATTCTCCTGTCATCTATTCCTCCTCCTTAAACTATCCTGATCTTCAATTATCAGGCCACATTTTGAATGGAGAGAACATTTCCATATACACAGGAACAATGCTATGCTTTTAATTTGTTGTTTGTGAATAATTGCAATATTCTTTTAATCGCTGTAGTTTCTGTTTTGCTTTGCTGAGCTTTCTGATTTTCGTTGTCTTAAATTTTTATGGGTTATCTGTGCTGAATTATTTATATATTTAAATTATATTATTTTAATTATGACTAGTTTGACTCTAATTTAACTCCCAGTTGGACCACTGAGTCCTGAACTAATGATTTCATTAGTTCAATAACCAATTTGGTTTTCAGTACCTTGATTTTTCCATCTAGCAGCAATAATTCTTCAATACAGGCACTGACTGGTTGAATCTTTTGCCCAGGATTGGGAGATCTTTGAAGTGTGAGCAGGTGGAGCTTCAGATGGAGTCTTTGTCATTGATGCTGCTGCAGCATCCCATGAACCTCTCTTCGGTGGCTGTAGCTACAGTCCCTTCTATATCATTTTCTTCCGTAAACCCTCAAAGACAGAGGATGCTTGCCTCAAAACGCTCTTCTAAACTTACAAAGTCCACCTCTCCACTTCAACCCATAACAACTATGACTAAAACTTTAGAATCCTCTCTTCCTCACAAAAAGGTGGTTTAATGTTCATAGTATATGGAAATTTATTGGATTTAATTCACAGTCCTTGTCTGCTGCTAAATGCCCTGGAAATTTTCCAATGCATGGGATTTTTTTTCATTTTATTTTTATTTTCCCTTCTGAGTGAATCAGGTATTGGTTCCTATTGGTTTTGGAACTGAAGAAATGGAAGCTGTTATTTTAGTTGATGTTCTACGCCGAGCTGGTGCAGAGGTGACTGTGGCATCAGTGGAGCAGCAGCTTGAAGTTGAAGCTGCTGGGGGTATCAAATTGGTGGCTGATACTGACATTTCAACATGCTCAGATGAAATTTTTGATCTTGTGGCTTTACCGGTGTGTTATAAAACTTCCATTGTTGGTTGTTCTGTTTTTGCACCTTAGATATCAACGAATTCTGTTATCCATAGTCTGATAAACTATGAGTATCAGTTTGAGCCCTTGTAGCAAAGTGAATTGTATATTAGAGTTTACTAAGGATCTTATGCTGCATATCATTGAGTTATCAATTGATTGAATTGACTCTTGGATTTCAGTGTCATAGGCAAAATAATGAGATACGATGAGTCTATGAAGTAATTTTAGATCTCTTGTTTACAGGGAGGAATGCCTGGTTCAGCAAGATTAAGGGATTGTGGCGTCCTTAGAAAAATTACCTGCAAACATGCGGAGGAAAAGAGGCTTTATGGTGCCATATGTGCTGCTCCAGCAGTCACTCTTTTGCCATGGGGTCTTTTAAGTAAAAAGAAGGTAGTTTAATTAGATGAACATTAGTTACAATTCTTATGGTATTTACTGGTCAACACTTGCTAATTTTGATATAGTTTGTCATGCAAGATGACTTGTCATCCTGCATTCATGGACAAGCTTCCACCATTTTGGGCTAGTAAGTCGAATGTTCAAGTTTCAGGAGAGCTTACAACAAGCCGTGGCCCCGGAACTGCTTTTGAGTTTGCCTTGTCCTTGGTGGAACAGCTATTTGGGGAGTCAGCTGCCAAAGAAGTTGGAGAATCGTTGGTAGTGTTATATCCTTGAGCCCAGTCTAACTTTTGCTTTAGTGTTGTGCTCAACTGCTATTGTTGGTTAGTGAATCTTCGTTTAGTAATGGAAAATTGGGCTTCAATTCCTAACGAAAAGCAAAATCTCAGGTCTAAAATGGATTTAGTTGAAAAGTTTCTTGGAATTAATTTGCCTTAATTGGTCTAAGCAAAGAAATATCAGTTGTCCACAGTTGTCCCCCCCCCCCCCCCCAATATTAATGATAGGTTGAATGTTGAAGATCATAGAAGCTGACAAGATAAAGAGGGAATAAAAAGGCATATCAAATAGAACCGAACATTTATTTATTTCTTGTACATAGTTGTAGGTAACGATTCATTTCTTCTGTATTTGCCAAATTTTCATGAGATCAAAATGAAAATAAGCCTGAAATTGCAATAATAAATGTAGGGTCTGTCTGATCAAATATAAATCTAGGGCTGTTGTAAGCTAGTTGAATGGTCAGAGTATTAACTTCAAAAACTCAGTTTGGAAAGATTGAAGTATGCAATCACTTGATGTAGTATTTAGGAACAGAAAAGATAATATTATCAGAAAGGAAAAGAGTAGAGTAAAATCAAATAAAAAGTTAAGCAATACACTTCTGTGAAACTGAAATCCAAGGATTGGAATGCAGCTTAATACTCTTCTTGTAACAGTTGTTGGGTAGTGCCAATGATGACGGTGCAACCAAGAAGGAATTCAACACAGTTGAGTGGTCCCTTGGCCACCATACCCCCAGTGTGAGCCATACTACAATATCCGATTAATGAGTCTTTTGTTGCCCTATCTTGCAACATGAATCTTACTTTACATGATTTGCAGGTTCTCTTGCCAATTGCTCATGGTTCTGAAGAGATTGAAGTAGTGATTATTGCAGATATTTTAAACCGAGCAAAAGCCAATGTTGTAGTTGCATCTGTAGAAAATGATTGTGAAATTTTGGCTTCTCAAGGAACCAAAATAATTGCTGATATATTAATTAATGAGGCTCAAGAGATAGAACATGATTTGATTATTCTTCCGGTGAGATAGATTTCTGCATACATAACCTCTAAATGTTCAAAGTTTTTAACTTTAAAGGTTTCTGAAAATAAAATATCTGGCTCCAAATGTTTGTTGATGTTGAATTTGTCGTGAACACTTCAAGGGGGGAGCTGCTGGCGTTCTGAGGTTAATCAAATCTAAAGTTCTCAAGAAGCTTCTTAAAGAACAAAATACATCCGGAAGAATTTTTGGGGCAGTCTCCTCTTCACTTTTTATCCTTCATAAACAAGGCTTACTGAAGGTATTAAACACCCCGTTACATCAACTCTGCTTCCTAAATCCTGACCCATTTCTCAGCTGAAACATAACATTGATGCTGTTGATTTCACAGGAAAAGAGCTTTGCAGCTTATGCGTCCATTGTGGACAAACTCAATGATGAAACAATAAATGGTGCTAAGGTAGTTATTGATGGCAAACTGATAACTAGTGAGGGACTTGCCTCTGTCACAGATTTTGCACTGGCTATTGTTAATAAGCTCCATGGTAATGGAAGGGCCAGAAGTGTAGCAGAAGGCCTTGTTTTTGAGTATCCTAGGAGTTATAACTCGTAGATAAAGAAATTCATAGGTGTAATGTGTGTTCTTGTTGATGATTAGCTTGGTAACTTGATTCATGATAGAGATGGTGGAAGAAAGTTGGGTATTGTTTAGGCATTTCAATAGTCTAATCTTACACTGCCCCATGTAAACAAATCAGAAGATCAAGCACGAAGCTAATACATGAGTTTTGTTGGGTTCTGTCGTGTCTCTTTTCCCGTTTCCTAGAATGCAAAGCTGAATCTCTTATAAATTGTGAAAGAGAACTTGTAAATGTTTAAGAAATGAAATGGGTTGTATGAATTAGTGTAATACAGGATTCAAATCTTTAATTTACGTGAGTCAAAAGAGAAGGAAAATTATTTAATTCATTTATATTTGTATGAATTCAACCTGCATCAATCGAGGTCAAAATATGGTAAAATTTGTTACAAATGTTCAATTGATAAATCTGGAGCTCAAAACTAAATGTTGTTTTATATTTCTATTATAAAATATTTTCAACTATTTCATTGAAATGTCTTAAAATGAAAAAGGAAATCAACTTTACAACATTAACAATTTATTTATATGAATGTACATCATTGTGTTTTATTATCAATTAAGTTTTTAAAAATATTGTTAATTAAGTTATCTCATTTAACAATTTTTATAAATATTTTCTTTAGTCTTGCTCTACTCTTTTTTACTTAACTCAAGATTATCTATTTCATTTTTCTCATTAATACCCCTCATAGCCTTTTCTATATTTGTTGAAACCATTTCAAATGATTTTTTAAGAATTTTCTTTTAGTATATGCCACATTTACTTTTTCTCATTTATGTTCATTTCAAATTTTACTTTCTTGTGTTTGTCTATACATCTATCTCAACATTTTCATATCTATCACTCCAACTTTATATTCATGTTATCCTTTTAAAGCCTAACATTCACTATTATATAACATATTAATCTTATAGCTGTTCAATAAAAGTTATTTTAAAATTTATTAGGTATCTTTTGATCACAAATAACTATTTTAGCCTTTCTCCAATTGAGCAACTCAACTTGTAACATTCAAAAATTTAATGTAAGGATTAAATTAATTAATCTAGGGCCTAATTGGATTAATTAGGGTAATTGGATTGCCATTTGGGTCCACTAGATCTCATACAGTGCTTAGAATGGGACTAAAAGAGCTTTTGGAAATATTGGGCTTATATACAGTTTTCAAAATAAGCTATTGTCATGATGAATAGTGCTTTTTGCCTTGGTAGACACATTGAATTTTTAAATTTGAGAGAAGCATTTCAAACAATAAAGTGGGAAGAAATTGAGAGAGAACAAGAGAGAAAGGATAGAGATTTGCTAGGATTCACCATTGGAGGTGCTTGGAGATAGTTACAGGCCATCTAATCCTTGGGTAAGGTTTCTCTTCTACTCTTCTCCCTTCTTTTTTAATTCTTCTTGGGAGTTTTTGGTTATTAAGATTTGTTGTGCATAATGTGTCGTGGCATACGCGCAAAAATTAGCATTTATCAGTTCGTGAAAACAGACTAGAACCAGAGGGAAGAAAGAAGGGAAATTGAGAGAAAGACGGAGGAGACCTAAGGGCAATTAGGGCACAATCTCAAGGGCATCTTGGATGCATTTAGATCTTGAATCATCATTGGCTAAGTTTCATTTCTCCTTCTCCTTCCCTTTGATGTGAAAATTTTGACTTTCGGGGTAATAAGGGCTTTGATATCTGTTTCTTTGGGTTTAGACCAAACCCATTAATTTTTTTAAGGTCTTGAGGAGTTAAATCAAGTCTCTAACCTTAGGATTATGAGTTTTATGGTGACTTAAAATTTTTAGTTAGGGTTTGAACGAACCCTAGGCATAATTGGAAGGTTTTGAGACAATATGGGAAATTAGATTATAATTTTGGTATGTTTGGATGTTTAATAGAATGGTTAGAGTGTTTTAAAATTAGTATTGTTAGCTAAGAATTTAAGTGTTATGAGTACTTAGAACCTAGCAAATTCAGGGTTTATTTGAAGTGAAAATTGACAATTATCACTTGATTATGTAGATTGAGTATTACTCAAGCTTTATCATGTATATAGAACATGTGAAGCTAACGTTTAACCATAATAACCCTTTTATGTAACAAAAGGTTGGGGTAATGAAATAATTTGCAATATTTGATTATATTACCTAACTATTTGTGAGTAGATGTGTTAATTTGTACTTAAGATTTGATAATCTTGCATATTGCAAAATGTGATTTTTGTGCATGTTAAACAATTTACAATAATGGAATTGATGAAAGTTTTATTTGGACAGGTTGAGAAATTTAAAACGTATATGTGTTATATATGATGAGTGTGAGCATGATCATGCTAAGGGTAGGAGTTCACTCATAAGAAGGAATAGTAAAAGTTCATATGGCATGTATTTCCTTAGTACTTAGTGAAGCACGGCATCAGAGAAAATCTCCTTAGTATCCATGTGGGATATGACGTTAGAGAGTGACTTTCCTTAGCATCAGTGATGCGATATTAGAGTAGTAATACCCCGATTTGTGTGCAATAGGAGGAGACCATAGTCCAAAAACGGGATAAGATACCTTTGATCGCATAATCTCCTTAGTACCTATGTGGGGTGTGGTGTTGGAGATCTGAGCTCCTTAGCATCAACATGATGTAGTGTTGGGGCCAACGACATCTCATTATGTGTGATGGGAGAAATTATAGTTCAAAAGTGAGATAGAACACCTTTGGCCGGGTGGTTCTACTACTAAATGTAACATCTCAAAAATTATTCTCTTAATTAATTAAGCTAATGAAGGGTAAATATATAAATTTAAATATAAATGGGTTTGAGGATAGTTAGAGACAACTATTAGGTTTGGCTTTATCCCTTGGATTAGATTCGGAAGTGAGTTAGGTCGCTCGGGCTCAAATTGTGGAAAATAAATAAATTTTGGCCCAATGCATTATGTTGTAGCGTAAAAATTTATGCTGCAGCATAATTCCTAAAATTAGCCTTTTTAAAAATGTGAAAACAAAGAAAAATACTAGAAAACAAAAAAATACTAGAAAACAAAGGGAAGGCGACGGAGAGAGTGGCTGCTCTGCTAGGGTATTAACTTTTGGAAATTTTAAGGTAATTGGAGCTTAATTTCACCTAGGTATGCCTTCTTTATCTCTTCTTCTCTCTACACATTTTGAAAGTAAGATTTAAGGTTGGGAGATAATGATTTTTAGACCTAGGGCGATATGGGTCTGAACTCATTAGTTTAAATGGAACTAATGGGAGTTGTTTGAATTATCTAAACCTAGATATAGTGGTTTTATGTGTCCATAAGAGTGGGCTCTCAATTATAGATGAATTTGTGGCATTTAAATGCTATTAGTAATGAAAGTTAGGATTGTTGGAAGCCACTATTAGTGATAGATGGGTTTAATGAAGTTAGTTAGAGCTAATGAAAGTTAATAAATTCAACGTAGTGATTAAACTCATGAGTTGAGAGTTTTGGGTGATTAAAGTGTTGAAATTTGAGAGTTGAAAATAAGTAATTTGTGACATTGATGATGATTTTGGATTGTTGGAAGATATATTAGTGATTATTTAAGTTGTTGAGAGCTAAATGAAATTAATGGGAGGTAAGAAACTCATTGGATATGAGGTTGATCTTGTAATTGAGAATTTGGTTATTAAAGTATGAAATTAGATATTAGAAATGGTGATTTTAAGGATTATTAGTGATGGATGTTAATGTAATTGTGGACTAACCTCACGAAGAACCGATGAGCTTGAATTTAGTTTGGAAAGCAAATTGTGATTGAGTAGTAACATTTGACCTCTCAAAAGTTCGAGATACCAAGAGGAATCTTATTTGTATTATTGTATATTAATTATTTATTAGTTGAAATAATTCATTTGAAAGTTTATTTGGGTGTTCAAGAACCCATTGATGCAACGTTGGCAACGTGATGAATTATACATGTGTGATTGTATTGAATTGTTGAGAATGTTACATATGTATATTCATGTGATTATTGATGAATGAAAGCATGTAATTGTGAAACCGATCAATATGTGATGTTTAGTATGTGGAGTATGATGAATATGATTATGGTATGTGGATTATAGTAGAGAAAGAGAATTATGTGAGCATGATATGATGTGATTACTGTTGTTTGAATGGCATACATCTTGTTATTTGTGCATAGCATGATCATTATGACGGGAGTTTGTCTATAAAGAGGAGTAGATTGGCAAACCCACGTGGTAATGATAGCTCATCGTTGCAATCGAAAGCTTGTCTTGGGATCGACCGTTGGAATTAAAAGTGGCCATTGACCCATAGTTGGCTTAGGACTATCCCACTTGTTCTTTTCGCTTCAAAAGATCATGCCTTTTGTTAAATAATTTTTGCCACCTATTGAAGCATCTTTTTGAATAAGCACTTCGATAGATTTACTTTATCGAACCACTTTTTAAAATAAGTATTTTGATAAATTCTGTCTCATCATATCAAAGTGCTTTTTCTTTTAGAAAAAGAGTAAAGATGTAGATTTACCTTAGAATTTTTCTTTCAGAGACACTTGGTATCCTGATTTTTTTTTAGAGCAATTGTTGCCACGAAAATTTTCAAAAAGATGCAATGTTACCCTACCATCAAATTTGACTGTTTTTGTCTGACTAGACTTGCCAAATAGTTGCCACATGGCATTTTTTAAAAAATAAAAAATGGTAAAGGTGTAAATTTATCATGCTCTAAGGGCGCCTAATATCCTTAACTTTTTTTAGAGCAATATTGCCCTAAAACTCTCTAAAATGGTGCAATGTTGCCTACTATCAGAGTTGACCATTTTGTTTGACTTTACTTGCCACGTGGTAGCCTTATGGAATTTTTAAAAAATAAAAAAATGCTCTCCTCCCTTCTTGTGTCTTAGCTGCACATTGCTCTCCCTCTTTCATATTCGGCCATCCGTCCCATCTTCATTCCTCCCTCCTCCACCTCGGCATCCCCCCAATTTGGGGGGGGGGAAGGTTTTGGAGGGCCACTCCACCTTACCAAACAAGGGGAGGGGAGGGGAGGGGCTCACCTCCCCTTGTTTGGTAAGGTGGAGGGGGAGGGAAAATTTTCCCTCCCCTCCCCTCTCCTCCCCCCAACCAAACATAGGGTAAGGATTGTTAATGTTAATCAGGTGCCATTGGTGAGGCCATTATTGAAGAGTGCTATGCTTAAATAATAATAAATTAATAATGGAACCTATCACATGTCACAGAAAATGGAGTCCACTAGAAGTGGTAATATTTTAACGTCAAAGTATCTGATATTTCAATTTAATTATTTAAGATGTGAAAATGCTACACGAAATATATTACAGTATTAGATACTCTTTGAAACAAATTTTAGAGACAAAAATATATTTTTATTTTTTATATATCTAAATGGTATCTATATTTTTAATTATATTTATATTTTTTAATATTTATTTACCATTTCCTTAAGCCTTACTCTTTGTGCTCAAAAAGTTCGAATAAGTTAATATACAATTCCAAAACCTTATTTCATTAGTTGCTAATCAAAATCATAATTTCCTAACTATCCTACTAACTCAAAATCCCTAAAATATCATTATATATGACAACCAAAACATTTCCCATTATCCATTAGTTCTAACAAACCTCCACTAACCTAATCAACACCACTTTATAGTTATTTCTTCCTTAAGTCATCATTATTAAAACCTTAATTAAACTTGTTATATCAATAGCTTTTACTTGTCAAATTGCAATAATCACCTGTCAGCATATTTGAATATATAAAAATTAACTTGTTAAAACTTTAGCTCAACTTGTTATTTAAAATTTTTTACATTTTAGTAAATGAATATGAGATATAAATTGAGTGAGCTGAAAATTCATATGAACCACGTGAAAAAATTATTTCATTAACAAATTATAAGGAGAACTTATCAAATCCATGAATTTTCAAACCCCTCAATTTGCAATTTACCATGAAAAATCAACAAGTTTATAAAATGACAAGTTCAGTTAAGGATTTAATGAGTTGACTTTGATTTATGTTGTAACAAGCAAGCAGTTTAGAAACTAAATTGATTACCTTTGTGAACATGTTATTTTATGAATATTTAACTGTCATTCTATAAATGGAAACTTATCAAATCTTTGAATTTTCAAACCTTACAATTGACCATAACAAATTAACAAGTTAATAAAATGACAAGTTCAGTTTATGGTTTAACAAGTTGGTTTAAACTATGTGGTTTGAAAACTAAATTTATTACATATACAATTTTTTGCATATAACATGATTTGGTGATTTAATGGCTGCCATCCTTTAAGTGAGCCAATAGCGTATGGGTTCAAAACCCCTGGACAATTTGATGATTTAAACGCTCACCAGCAATGGTTAGTCACCAGTGACAGTCCATGGCCAGTGCCAACGACTGTCAGATGTTGAAATTAAAAAAAAAAAAAAAAGGTTGAGAGGCAGTCTTGTCATTTCACCCACAAACTTATTTTAATTTTAGAATTAGAATTTGGTATTTAACCAACATAGAAAAGATATTTAGAATTTGGTATTTAACCAACATAGAATAGATATCTCAAATATATCCTTGGTCAATATCAATATGGTCAAATATAAGACAACATAAGCGCGTGCTACAACGTAACTCATATAATCTAAATAGATACCCATGAATTTGTACGTAGTAATGATTTCATTAGTCTTCCAATGTCTGCAGGCAACACTACAAGGGGATTGGCATGAAGATACTCATTGACTTCTCTGAAGCCTTGTTCTGGAAACCATGTGCTCTGATTTCTGTACCCATAAGGAAAGTTGACATGTACATAAAACATTACCAAAGGTCATTAAATATATAAAAATACTTTATAAATTAGATGCAAAATTGTCGACGTGCTTAATTTGCAAACTGATGATGCAAACTCGATTGCTGAATCCACTTAACCGTAAGTCAAAAGAAAAGGGAAAAAAAATGCTTTCTGATATTCTCATGCAACTTCTGGTTCATCAAGCAATGAGGCGAACACAAACATAGTTGAGCTGAACACCAGATTCTACTGGCTGACCAGATGAAAACAAATAAGGCTTAAGATTAGGATCTATGAAACACCATCATCTTGAAAAAGGAGCTTCATTGTGACAGACGTGGATCTAAAACTCTATAGATGTAGGGAAACATTTCGAATTGATTCAAATACCACGTATTTTGTTATGGTGCGGTGTCCATTACTTGTTATGCCCGTACTGATGCTTCATAAATTAAAAGTTCTCGTGGTTTGTGATTGGTGAAGTTGAAGGAATTTGAGCAATTACCCAAAATACCAGCCAGCAAAGTAATGTTTTATATTCTAGACTACTCAACTCCTTGTTATTAATAACCAACTCTTAAAATTAAATAATATATTTCAAGAGTTGGTTGTCAATAAAATACAATAATGTCATATTGTCATACAATCTATATAGTCGACGTCATTGTACTTTAAATTATGATAATATGTTCACAATCTATATAGTTGTGCACTCTATGATGTCGCTTTCCCACTAAGTAGGATAAAGCTTCTTCTTCTTGTTGTTGTATTTTATGGACTATGGGCTCTTCAACAGGTTCCTATGACAATCCCGCCTGGTATGGGAAAGTGTCCAGCGCATTTACCCCAACAAAAGGGATAAGAGCAAAGACCAAAATGCAAGAATTAGGCCCCTGGACCCAACCCTGGCACCAGGAAGACAGAAAATCCTGCTGCTACACTTGCCTCTCCAGCTGCATAGCAGCACTCCCTCTATTTTAAGGAATTAAACTCTTGCCAGGTCACTGCCCTTGTTATCTCAGACAAGCAAATCTAACTGCCTCTAGCCACCTATAATAGGTAAAGGTGAACGTGATGCTAGGTTCCATTGCATACTGAGCATAGAATTTATCATTCTCATCTCTGACAGCTTCCATACTGAGATTCCCATATATCATTCTGTGATACTGGGATAGCCAGAATTTTATAACAACAGGACAAAAGCAAACTGTCCTGAACTGCAGAGAAATTTTAATTAAAAGCAAAGTATGATTGATTGACGGTCTCTTTTATGGTATCAACTAATTGACAATGAGATTTTTTTTCCCAATCAGTATGGCACCATATCTACTCAACTTTCAGCATCAACTACAAAGTCAAAGGAAGCAATTTTTTACATTACTTATTGTCATTCTTTTGGTATATCATCGTTCTCTGCAGCAAAATCCATCCATCTAGAAAAATAAATATGCAGCAACTGACCTGCTCAGTGTATGGCAAATATTTCCCATCAAATGTTACCACCACACGATCCTTCCCATCAACTCCTTTAACTTTATCAACCGAGCAGTAGAAGTCTATAGCTGACATACTACATGATAAATGAACAGTAAGAAAATATTTTCAAACTAGTATTTACAGACAAGAATAGTTGTTGAATTGATCATGGTATGTTTTACCAACTCCCACATTATATTAGGAGTATTCTCAACATCATAATGGGATAATGGTTGATTGACTCAACTATATCATGTGCCATCTATCATATCTTCCACAAAATTCACATTTTATGAATAAGGGCAACCAAAAAAATGAAAAAACAGATTTCCTAAGCTTTAAAATTATAAATAAAATTGAACCAGCATTTGCCTATGAATTATAGGATAAGTGATACACACATGGATATGTCAAACTTCAACAAAGATACATGCATACATATACATGTGTGTGTCTTCACCTAAATCACAACCCAGAAACCATGTTCTCCTACCTATCAACATGTCTTGTCCACAATTTTTTTTATTTATTATTTAACAATATATAATATGCAAATTTCATAGAAAGATCATCATATAAAACTAGGTGGACATGAAAAGGTACATAACTAATGGTGATAAGGTAATTTAAGTTCGAACTCAAAGGGATTAATTTCTAGAACTAAAATGAATATCTTAAAAACTAACAAATCTATTTTATTATTTGCTGGTAAAGTAGGCAGATCACCAAAATTTTTGCATATATTTTTCAATGCAATAGGTGTATTGAAAATACTAACATAAAATACTCAGAAGACATGATCAGAAAGGTCATTGTAACATAGATCAAAACTACATCATAATCATAAAATAGATTGAAACTCACATCCCATCACCAAACTCCTCATTGATGATTTCCTTGATGCTTTCCCCAAAATGCATAACAGCTTCGTTCAACCTATAAATTAGGAGATCAACATAAACCAGCAACATGAAGTAACTAAAGAACCAGAATTGATAATTCAAAATGTCAGATTGCTCCATGCACTTTGGAGCAAACATTGCTTTACTATCAAGATAATATGCCACTGCCAATACTCCTTCCACATAAACGTGAGTATGTTCACTTAGCACCAGCTTGATCCTTAATTAAGATTAATATTTGACGCACTCAGCTATCTTAGGACTTCTTTCAAGAATCCTATGAGCAAAATTCTAAATGTAGCAGGCTTATCTAAGATTGGATGAGCAGAGTATTTAACCCGATCAAAGTCCAGGAAAACCCCCAAAACCTGATAACCAAAAAAAGACTACAATTTGAAGGCTAATAAGAACAATATCTTAAGAATGCGCAACAAGATCTTCATCTCAGATGGGGAAAAATCGAGGAAGCCCATGCAATCCAATAAAGCGATTGTACCTATAGATAGTGGGTTCTTGGATAAGATTAGGTTCAAAAGACCTCATGGGGGCTTTCATCATCTCATGCACAAGTTGATCGGGCAGGTCAGGCAACGCTGCCCGCAATTTAGGGGCAGTCTCAGGCTTGAGCTGAGCTTGACGCCTGAGAAGTTGGGCAACATAGACATTGGTGAGTCCAGTCTCCCCTGCTAACTGATTGTAGGACTTGCCACTCTTGCGTTTTACATCCTGAAGGCGGCTCGTTATGGTGCTTTTGCTCTCCATTTCAGTGGAATCCTGAAGAAATTGCGTAGACAAGTTATCTTGCTTGCGCTTATCTTATTAGCGAACACGTTTTATCATCATCATTATTTCAGCATCACCTTCACTTCACCCGATATCTAACCCGAGGCGTAAGTTTAGGCTAGCTTAATACACGTGGAGTAGGGCCAGGTTTGGCCCAACACGGAAAGAATTTTTAAAAAACAATTTTTCCTAAAAAAATTTATCTTCAAAGAAAAATATATTTGTTATCTTTTAAAATATATTATCTTAAAAATTAATATTAGGTTTAAAAGTTGATTAAAAAAATTAGGTGAATTAAATTTCGAGAGCTCAGCAAGATCAAAGTATATTTTTAAGTTTAAAGAACGCTACGAAAGTACCTATAAATCACTCCTGATTTTGTAGATTATAAGTATGAGTTAAATTCTTACCAACCGAAAAAGGCAAGAGTTAGTTCAAAAAACAAAAAGAGAAAGAGAGAGGTTGAGAAAGAAAAAGAAGAAGAACATCTAAAGCTTTGATAGAACTTGAGTTTGTGAAGGTTTAGATGCGATTTAGAGCTTCCAATCTATCATTATAAGTTTTCTAAGCCTTCTCTTTTCTTCTTCCTCTTCTAATGGATTTAGGAGTTAAGGTTTGCCATAGAAAGATGATTTTTGAACCTTTAAGGCTAATGGGATTTCTTTGAATTATTTAAACATAAGGTTTATGATTTTAAGCGTTAGTGGTGGTTGAGGTCATTAATACCTGAAAATGACATTTAATAAAGTTGTTGGAGTTGTTTAAATGCCATTAATGATGGTATAAAGGTTTAATAGAAAGAATGTGAATCAATGGAAGTTAATAAATTTAATGGGTATACTCAAATACTAGAGATTAGAGATTTTAAGTAGTCCAAGTGTTGAGATAGAGAATTAAATTCATGTAAATAATGATATTAATAGTTATTAATATGACCAATTGTAGATTAATCATTTATTGCACCATTCGGAATTGGCAAGAGTTTTGAAGGTGTTTGTTATTGAGGAGTAAACATTTGACCTTTCAAAAGTTTGAAGTAATTGGAGAAAATTTAGTTTATGCAATTATAGGTTAATTAATTATAAATAATTACAACTTACTTTGAATATGTAAGCCTACTTTTGAACATGTGCGAAGAATGCAATTGTGGCTTTAAGTTGATTATTCAAATGAGAAATGATAATTATCTTGATTGTAAAATGGTGAATATGATGATGATAATATGTGGTATGAAATGATGCTTGGAGAAATGTGTTAAATGGTGATACAAAAATATGAATTGACGAGCGTGATAGTGTTGTAATGAGAATTTGTATGCTATGAATATGATGGTTAAGAATTTTGCATGCAAGAGTATGGTGATCTTGAATTAATCATGTTACGTGTTAAGTATATATTGCATTGCATGATCATGTGAGGTAAAGGTTCGCTTAGGGAGAGGAGTAAAAATTTTAAATTCACATAGTATGGCCACCATTTGACGCTCGATGGCTGGCCTTTATAAATATTGTTTCACTTGTTCTATAAGAAACTATTCTACTTATTCAACGATAGACTCAAACCTAACTAGTTTTTACTTGTTCCACAAGGAGATAGCTTAAGGTCATGACGCCCTATAGTGTATGATTTGGGTAAAACCATGAACTATAAGTAAGTATGGTAGCCTTGGTTGAGTAGCTTGTCATAAATGAAAGGCTTGGGTAGTCTAATTATATGGACAAACCCTATTGATTAAATAGCATATAGTTTCATTTGGAGGTATCAGAAGGGTATATAGAGTTTATCATGCATATCATATTTATGGTCACATGGTTGTTATTATTATAACCCTACATATTCTTATTAATACATGATTGTTAATATTGTGAATTTATAATCACATGATTGATAATATTGTGACCATGAATTATTTTCAATGAATACTCATATATGTGAATAAGTTACCTTTGCCACTTTCATTTATATGATTGATTAACATACATTAGTATATATTAGATCAACCTTAATTATTGAGTGGTTATACTCATCTCTCTCTCTCTCTTAAAAATTTATAAGAGCTAGCTAGAGTCAACATAGAGAGAAAGTGCCGGAGGCTTAAAAATATCATTCCTAACTGTAGGCCTCCTTTGTTTGGATTTTTTTATTGTGTATTTAAAGTTGATATTTCTAACTAGGATTGCATATTCCTTTTGAAAATTGTATTTTGAACTCTAAGTTGTATGTGCTTTGTATGTGCACATTTGAAAAGAGCCAAAATACTAATACAAATAAAGAAATATATAAATGCATGATTATGATGAATTATGCGATAATTAATGTGAAATTGTCTCCCCTTTTTATTTTTGAAATCAAGGGGTTGAGAGTTAAAAATGAGATATATGTGATATTGTGGTATATTGCATAGCTATCTTTTAGTCTATTGAGTTTGATCTAGCGGTGAATATGAGCTCTTGGCACCGGCTATGAAATTATACACCTTAGTTGTGGTTTAAATGTGAAAAGGAGTAACTTTACAAATGGGTGTCTAACTTTTAATTGGGCAATGATTTGTGGGTGAGACTAATGCTATAAGCTAGAGCTTGAAAAGAGCTTTCTGTAGACATTTGAATCACCTAAATTGAAAGTCAATAAAGAAATAGGGTGTCAGAAGTTTTCCCAGGATGTTGTCAAATTGATAGCATTAATGCTATCATTTTGTATAAGGCACCACAATGTATGACACTTGTGCCACAGCATATGGCATAAAAAGGAGAAGTTATGGCACATGTGTGACATATCGAAGCGTATCCTCCTTTGTGTATTCAAAAATGCTATTTTCAACTCAAATGCAATTGTTTTGAATATAAATTGGTATCTCATTTTTCCTCTAATTTTGGCTTATGAAAGTTATATTATAGTGGTTTTAAAATTTAAAACTTAAGATCCTATTTCTATCACTTTTAATACTTTTAAGACTGTGATGATTATTCTAGAGATGGTAATCTATTTAGATTAGCCCTGTGATTACCATTAGAGCTTATAGTTAAGTATTAGATAGTAAGGGCAACCTTACAACTAGTTATACCTATCCCTCAAGGAGATATGTCAAATGCATTTCTCTATAAGATTATGAATGGTATAAAGGGCAAGTTCAACCAAACAGTTATGAATATGAAGAATGATATGACTAGCTTAAGGGAAATGATGATGTACCCAAATGGTAAAATTGATAACATAATGCAGCATTTAGGAATTTCTAAAGGAGAAAAGGTGGCCAGACGAGAAGAAGCTAGGCCTCTAAGATTCAGAGAAGGGTTTATTCATGAGGTTTCCTCATCCTCAACTTTCAAAACTCCCACAATCTCACCCAAGACCAAGATAAGGTTGAATATGGATACATCTTCACCTCCCTCACCTTTTCAAATGCATACCTCTTATGACTCACCTACTAATCCCAAGATCAAGAAACCCAGAATCTCCTCACTTTACAAAACCAAGAACTAACAACCAATTAAGCTAAGACCTAAAACCAATCATAACAACAACAAATAGTGCCTCAAGTATTATGTTATCAATTAAAGGGATATGAGTGCCACTAAGTTAGTTCGTTAACTTACCAAACATGTTAGAGAACTTGTCATACCTAACATGTTGGAGAACCTGCCATACCTTCCTTTATCCTAGACTATTAGCCTCACCAACTATTCTTTCTAGTGCCCAATCTATCACAACAACTTTTCAAAGGAAGAAATCTCAACCTAAGACTAAAACCCACAAACCTACTAAAAAGCCTACTCCTATCCTAGTTAAGGAGACCATACATGAAGAAGAGGCTATTTAAATTCATATTGAACAATAGCCAAGAGAGAAGGAAAAAGGAGAAGAGATAATGACTACTAGAGGTTATTTTGGGCAGAATAAGGTAGGAAAAGAGGAAGAAGTCAAAGCTAATGAAGCTCTTGATCCCATACTAATCATAGACCTTAATGATCTTAATACTTAGACTATAGTCCTCTGTACTCAATCTTTTAACTCAAATTCTTTGTCTAATAGAGAAATAGTTCCAACCTTTGTTCAAGCTCAATTTCATGATGTTTTAAGCCAACCTTCATCTTTTTGATCATGATGTTAAAAGGGCAAAAAAATAGAAAGATACCTTAGCTTACCTTTAATAGGGGGAGTAATCAAGAGAGGTCAAGCTAACTCTTTTAAATTTATGTATTTTGAAATTTATGCTTGACTGTCTATTTTTGTATTCATTAATGACTTTGTGCCATTATTTGTTGTATTATTGCTACTTGTCAATGGAACAAATTTCTTTAGTGTTAAATCTATCTTATTTTACTATCAAATCACTTATTTAAAATTTTTTGAACTCCTATACCTATCTAAGAGGATGTATTTATCTTGATTATAACTAAACTTTGATATAAGATTTTTCATTATCAAAAAGAGAGAGAATGTTGAATCATGTATTTTAATAATCACAAAATTAAGAAAAGAAGTGTGTGCTACTTGTGCATATTATAAGCATCATTGAAGTAATAAAACCTCAAGAGCATGAAGATCAAGAGAAGGCTTAGTTTAATATGATTGTTTATTTTATTCTTCTCTTAGATTTAATTGTAAAAATTACAAAAGCTATCACATAATTTGAAAATAATAAGAACGTATCTTATTAGAACCAATTATAGGCTTATAAGTCTTTTAATCTTAAGTGTCAAAACATTTAGAATGCACCTGAGTTCATTGTTCCAATTCACACTTGATCTAGATAGATCCACACATGTTTTGGCTATCCATAGTGCATGATAGGACTTAATGGATCTAATTCAAAACTAAACTAGAATGAATCTCACTTGATTTAGATCATAGAAGTTAGACACTATATTGTAAGTTATTCCATGCTTGAATACAAAAAGATTCACGCATGTTTTGGCAAGTAAGTATGGAAAGTATCTTAAAGATGCTTTTGTATTTTGATTTATACTTGAGTGCACTTTATGCTCATTCTTGAATTTTCTAATGTGTCATATTGAGTTTGCATTAGTGACATTTTTTGCTTAAATCAGGGTGATTCACGCTTGAAATATAAC